CCACTTTAGAACTTTATTTTTTTTTTTTGTTTTAGAGATAGGGTTCCACTCTGTTGCCCAGGCTGGAGGGCAGTGGTATGTTTATAGCTTATTGCAACCTTGAAATCCTGGGCTCATAGAACTTTTTTTTTTTTTTTTTTTTGAGACAGAGCCTCAAGCTGTCCCCCTGGGCAGAGTGCCGTGGCATTACAGCTCACAGCAACCTCCAACTCCTGGGCTCAAGCGAGTCTCCTGCCTCCGCCTCCCAAGTAGCTGGGACCACAGGCGCCCGCCACAATGCCCGGCTATTTTTTGGTTGCAGCCGTCATTGTTGTTTGGCGGGTCCGGGCTGGGGATTCGAACCCGCCACCTTAGGTGTACATGGCTGGCGCCTTAGCCGGTTGAGCTATAGGCGTCGAGCCAGGGCTCATAGAACTTAAAGTAACTATTTACTCAAGTTTTTATAATGTCTCTTTTAGGTCCAAGAAGAGAAATATGTTAATAGATTTCCTAAAGTAGGTACTCCCAGAAATGTAATGTCATTCATGCCTGCCAGCCATTAAGATTCTTTGCTTTTATAAAGAGAGAAGATAGGGTTGGGGCAGGGGATGGAAAAGAACCCTTGGAATGTAGCTACTCTATTATTATTTTTTCTTTTTTTTGGAGACAGAATCTCACTTTGGTAGATTCTGGTAGAGAATCTGGTAGAGACCTGGGTAGAGTACAGTGGCATTATAGCTGACAACAACCTCAAACTCTTTGGCTCAAGAGATCCTCTTGCCTCAGCCTCTGAAGTAGCTGGGACTATAGATGCCCGCCACAACATCAGCTAGTTTTTTTTTTAGAGACAGGGTCTTTGCTCTTGCTTAGAGTGGTCTTGAACTCCTTAGTTGAAGCAATCCTCTTGGGGTGGCGCCTGTGGCTCACGGGAGTAGGGTGCTGGCCCTATATGCTGGAGGTGGCAGGTTCAAACCCAGCCCTGACCAAAAAAAAAAAAAAAGCAATCATCTTGCCTTGGCCTCCCAGAGTGCTAGGATTACAGGTGTGAGCCACTGAGCCCATATACCCCTAGTATTTCTTTTCTCACGTTTTTCTCATCACCATTCTTAGTTCTTAGAGATCCTACAAGCTTTTTCTTCTACTAGCAAGGCTGATTCTCAGTCTCATTGTTTTTAATTTTGTTACATGGATTTTCACAGACAAGTGGGCTAGATTTTGGAATTTTGAACACATTATTAATCTTTGATCCTATCTGGCAAGAATGAACTGTTGCTGGAAATTTCTTCTACAATGGACATTGCAGTTTTTAAATTTTGGGCTTGTCACGGGGCTTATTGGTGGGAATGGTATTGGTACTTACTTGTAGTTATAAACTTTCAGGGCCATGTGAACCAAAGGATTACAAGGGATATCCTTTCTGAACTGAGTAGTACCCTATGTTTGCATTTTCTGGAGGAAAGGAAACTGGTACTACTGAGTAGTCACTACTACTCAGTGTGACTTTATGAGTTCTGATAGAAAGAAATGACTTGATACATTTGGAAAGCAGACTGCCATAATTGGTTTCTCATCGCCATCTTTGGTGTGTAGTACTCTTTGTTTCCTTTCCTTATGTAATAAATAAATGCCTGAAAAGTTTAACATATTATCAAGTCATATTACATGTTTTCAAAGCATCTTTAATCATATTATGTTGAGACATAGTGGTGAATCTTTTTATAAAATGAATCCTTACACTTTGAACTGCTTAAATATACAGTGGATTAAATGGAGTATATTAACAAAGGAATGTAGAGTGAAGGAGTAATAAGTTTTTTTTAATGTTAATTTCAAAAGGGTTTGTATAGTTGGATTTTAAGATGACTTCTGAAGGAACAACAAAGGTAGGTGGGAGAAGTTAGAATTGGTGAGAAAGTTTGAGGAGGGCGTGGAAATGATCAGATTGGTTCTTCAGTATAGTAGTTACCATGTATCAGTAGTCACCCATTTTTACCTTGGTTCCACATGAAGACATAGGTTTTATTGTGTACTTCTGATGGTCTCTTCTGTCCTGGACTAGACTAGGTATTTACTAAGGGTCTTTATATAGTTCGCACGTTATTATGTGCACTTGGTGTCTTATGTTGGAATAAATGGAGGGAGGAAATTGGAGGGAAAAAGAGGGAGGAATATTTCTCTGCATTTGAGGATTCAAGGGGTTAGGGAAACAAGAAGCTTTAAGCTTTCAGATCTATACCTTACTAAATCTAGCTTTCCTTTCATTGAAGGGTTATGGATCTTAGAGTGAAGGGGCCTGTCCTTTCTCAAGCCAACTGTGATATGGTGGCCCCTATCAAGTGTACCTTGGGGAGGGCTTTGGTTGTCGCTCTGGAGAGTATGGGAGGGCTTCCCCTCCCCTGCCCCCATGTGTAGACATGGGGGTGCTACCATTGCTTTGTGTGCTGTTGCATTTTCTCCTCCCTCTTTGTTTTCCCTAAGCTAAGTTCTAAGCTAATTTTGTGCTAAATAAATACTGATTGTTTTTGTAAATTGCTTGCCATTAATGCCTGATAATATGCAGTAAAATAGGATTCTGCATACCCTTAAATATGTCAAGTATTACAAACTTGAAGATTCTTTTGAAATTACAATACTAAACTCAGTTCACTTTTGCTTAGCCTTCACAGTTGTTGATCACATAGCATGGTCATCCACTCACAGCTTAAAAAAATACAGGGAGCATCGGAGAGAATGGGTAAAGTAAAATTTTGATGTTTTTAAAATAGCGACTAAATCTATAAAAGTTGATTTGATTTCTTGTTTGTATGGGAGGGAGGGGTGGGTAGTACTCCGGGAGGGAAGGGTGGATATTGGGAAAATAGCATGCACCATATAAAATGATGTCAGATACCACTTAGGCTAAGGTTTTAAGTGTTACTACTAAAATTTAAGTTTAAACCAGTTTCAGAAAAGGCAGGACCATAAAATGGCAGTGTTAGAAATTACAATGGGCTTATTTTTTCCTCCCAACAGATTAAAGGGGAGATTTTGAGAATAGTAATATTTGAGTACGGTTTGGACAAGAAAACTCTTTTTAAAACGACCTGTCCTTATACCCTGAGTGAAACTGACTACTTCAATACCATCTTAGGCTCTGTTACATTGGTGAAGGAACTAGAGAGAAATATAGTATGCATCTTAGCTTTACTGTCTACCTGTGACTCAGGTATTCTCAAATAAATGTTACAATTCATGAAACTGATGAAGGAGTTGAAGGAAGAGGGAGGTAAGAGAGTTGTTACTTTGAAGATAGTTGTATGGTAGGAAATATTAATAGAAAATTTGATGCTTCTCTTAAAAAAATATATGTCACCTTGCCAAAGTTCTAAATTAAGTTTCTTTCTTCCTTCCTTCCTTTTTTTTTTTTTTTTTGAGACAAAGTCTGTCTGTTGCCTCAGAGTGCCATGGCCTCAGCCTAGCTTACAGCAACCTCAATACTCCTGGGTTCAAACAACCCTCTGCCTCAGCCTCTGGAGTAGCTGGGACTACAGGCACCCACCACAGTGGCCTGGCTAATTTTTCTACATTTTTAAAAACAGAGACAAGGTCTCCCTCTTGGTCAGGCACCTCCTGAGCTCAAGTGATCTTCCTGCCTTAGTCTCCCAGAATGCTAGGATTACAGGCATGAGCCCGTGGTACCTGGCCCTAAATCAGGTTTCTAATTAAAAAAAAAAAACTTGGCTATGCAGTTGTATGCAAAACTTAATTAACTATTGTGGAGATTATAAGGCAGAGAGACCTCTATATTTTTATAGATACAACATTTTTGTTATTGACTGAAATAATTTGTCATTTGGTCTAATCTCTGCTCCATGGTTCTAATTTTTTGTTACTAAAAATCTAGATTAAAAAAGAAAAAACTAAGAAATCAAATTTTACCCAAGAATGTTATTCTGGCCCCGACTTTGCTATTCCTTTCCATGAAGCCATTTGCCAAAGCCAGATATGGTTTACTTATTGTTCCCTAAACCTTCCTGCCTCTATAAGCTTTATTCCAGTTTGAAATGCTCTTTTGTCTACTTTCCTTTGGTCTAAGTTCTGTCTTTCCTTCAAATTTTGGCTTCTACTTACCGTATGAAGCCTTTCCCAACCTTTCCACTCTTGGTGGTCATTCCAGTCTTAGAATTTCTGAAGTACTACCTAATCGAAACATTCATTTGGCACTTGGATCATGTTACCTTGTATTATTACTTATTCATTTATATGACTATCTTCTTAGCAAAATCAAGGGCTTCTTGAGGGTAGAGAGCTGGTCTTATATGCCTCTTTGTAATTCCATTGCCTAGTACAGAGGATATGGTCATTAATAGGTTTGATTCTATAATTTGGATCCAATGTCATTGTACATAGTAACAGGGCAGTTTTTTCCCCGTAATTTAGGTTATTTTTGTAACACTCCCACAAAAGCCAAAGGTAAAGTACCTTGAATTCATAAAATAATGAGATTGGTTCATATTCCCTAATTGCAATCCTTTTTTTTTAAAATTTGTAAATAGGTATTGTTTTATTTCAATTTCTTTTGAAAAACATGGTTTGGGCCAGATATCTTGACAGAAACCAAAATTATCAGTGTTTTTATTTTAAAATTCTTTGTTGCCTTAGCAAAATTGCACTTTCATGACATAAGCCCAAGTACATTTACAAATACTGCATAGATGTGTAGCCAAATTGTTTAAAATGTCAAACTTAAATTCCCTTAAATAGAGAGTTAAAATATCAATAAACAGATACTTAGTTGCTGTTTTCTTTCAGAGATTTCCAAATCTCATATTATTAGGGTTTTTAAAAATTTCATTCTTTTATAGAGTTCTACAATAGCTGATATTTGATAGCTGTATTTGTTGTGCTTGCTATAACTATCAAGTATTTATGGAGCGCCCATCATTTGCAGTGAACACTTATTTTTAAATGCTTTTTTGCATTTATAGAAACATTCTTGTTTTTAAAAGCTTGCCAGGGAGAATACATACAAATATTATATATCCATAAAAATTTTAAAAACTCACCAGGAATACTTGGTGGTTTTCTGTAGTCATAGTTAGAATTAATCACATTTTATCTGATCCTATGTTGTCAGGATTCAAAAACCTTAATTTTTAATTTAATATCATTTAAGCAAAAATAGTCAAGCAACTTGATGAAATGTTTGATTAGCAAAACATCCATGAATCTTGATTATATCTGAGGCCTGAGCCATTAGTTTAACAAAGCACTGAAATGACACTGCTATTGCATTACCAAAAAGCTTAAATACTTGTAGCAGGGGGACTACTAGGTATATAAGGGTTTGTGTTTTTCTTCTTTTTTTTTTTCCCAACTTTTAAAATTTTATCATTTTTTATTAAATTTCTTAACATAATTAGGGTACAGATTTAAAGCAAAATTATTTTTTCCTTACTAGGAAGCAAAAAGCTGCCATTCTGGTGTAATCTTATCATACCATTCTAACATGAGCCTGGGGCCCTCACCAAAGTCTTGAAATATACTTGCTTTTTTTCCAAGATCCTGAATGAAATATACTTTTTAAAGAAACATTTTTTGAAAACCCCAGTTGGCCCAAGGACCATTTTCCAGAGTTCCACCCTTGGACTTTTTACCCATGGTCATATTCTTATCTGGGGTTATGGTTATTAAGCCAGTATTTTAAAAAAAAAAACCCTGATTTTGTTCACTTTTGTTTTCCTATACAAGAATCTTTACAGTCAACATGTACTTCTAGATGCTGTATTGAAATTGCTGGCAGAGTCTATTCTATACAAACTGAACAATCTGGCCCCTTGTTTTATTTGTAAAGGTTCAATGTATCTATGCCTGCCTACTTCAGTCTGCAAGGGAGTGTCAGAAAGGCCCCGCATTCGCCGAGCCGTGAGTTATCACTAACTTTTCAGATGTGTTAATGAATGTGGAACAAAAGCAGTTGTGTTTAAAAGGAAAAAAGGACCATCAAAATAACCTTTATTATAGTAGCAGGCGTGAACACTAAATGGATTATTCCAAGTTATATCAAAAATAACCTACTAGAGAGTAGCTTCTAGAAAACCTATTGTTGAACTGCTCTGAAGCTATCATTTTACTTGTTAATTGCTGTTCTTAAAACTTTATATACCCTCGTTACAAATTAGAATGTTCTTTAAATCTTTTTAACCATGTTAAAACAATTTGAACAAAATCTTACTCCATCAATAAAAGAAAGGATTTAGCTGAATTTAGTTAAGCTCTTCAATATAAGACCACATGAAGGGGTAAAGTTTTAACCCTTTTTGTTATTGACATATAGAAATATAAACATTAAATTTAAATGATTGAATCACTTATAGATGAAAGTTTTTGGAGTGCTCCAGGCATCATGTGAAGTATGGAGGTATTTACAATATCTTTTGGTACCAGTAGTTCTTGCTTCAGTAATTCACCAGTAGGTTTTCATTCACCAGTGGTATCAATTTAAGGCTAAAATAAAACATCTACATTTCTTAGGGCTTAATCATTCTGTATAGGAAGAGCAAACATCCTTTAAGTTTTTCTTTTGTTTTTCCAAAGAGATTCTAAGCAAAAAAATTGTAACTAACATCTGTATTTTGTTATTAGTGCTAGTTACTTTTCTTTTTCTTAGACTCTTCAAAGTTTTTGAACAGATAGCCATATTTGATAAACAGGTTGGATACTTAAGTTGCTTAGGAGGTGTATTGTGTTATATGAAGACAGAGTGAATTTAAATGTACCCAGTTTGGCAATATATAGCACAGACTACATAAAACTTGGAGATATGGAACCTTTGGAGGCATTAAAGTTAACGTTTCATGTAGGCAATGTGCCTTTGTTTGACTGGTGTGTAAGTCCTTCCAGGTTTGTACGCTCTTAAATGCATTATTCTACCCTCTCTTAACTCCTCCCAGCAGCAAAAGGGAGACACTTCAGCTGGAACAAAATAGTGGAAGAAATGGCGTCTGGGGTTCAGTGGGGATTCGCAGTGTGTATGCAAAGTTTGCAAGATTACTTTTTATATTTTTCAATTACTGTAAACAATTATAAAATATATCAATGCTTATCAAGAAGGGAACAGTGTATACCAGTAGAAACTCTCCTAGTGGGTCTGCTGTAAGTCATTTAACCTCTTGGGGCCTCAGTTTTCTCACCTGCAGAAGGAGTTGGACTTGGTAATCTTTAAGGTCCATTCCTGCTCTAAAATCCTATGCTTTTCTGAAGTACTCTATTTAACAGAATGCATTGCTTTCCCACTTTGTTTGAATTACATGTGCAGTACACTTACTGCAACTGCATGTTGTCTAAAATAGTTTTTCTATAGGATGTTATATAAAAAACTAATCCCTCTTGAGCTTTATATAAATGTGTGTGTAATAGCCACACATACAAAGATAGTGATAGTAGGGGTCACAGAAAATAAATGCTTTCCTGTTGTCTAACCTTGTATGTTATTAACTTTTCTATATTACAGGAGATACTACTCGTCAGCGAATCAAATTCAGTGATGACAGAGTATGCAAGAGTCACCTTCTCAACTGTTGCCCCCATGATGTGCTTTCTGGAACTGTATGTATTTTTTAAATCTATTGTTTGATTACTGGTTGTGCTATAGTAATGAACTACTTGATGAAGTCTTAATTCCTTGTCAAATTATTAACAATTTTTTTGACACTTGTGAGGAGGAGGGACTTGCATTCATTATCATTTATTTTAAGTTGATTTAAATCTATAGTAATGAGTTAGTTTCTTCTGAGTAGTAATTGATATATTTTGTTTTATGCTTTTTTCCAGTCTTCGGTGTAATTTTTTACAAAGCATTTATTTGGAATACAAAGGTAGTTATACAGCATTTGCACTTTTAGTTGAGAAATAATATAATTCATTTTTATTTGTCTTGAGACAGAATCTTACCCTGTTGCCCTGGGTAGTGCTGTGGCATCATTGTAGCTCACAGCAACCTCAAACTCTTGAGCTTGAGCAATCCTCTTGCTTCAGCCTCCTGAGTAGCTGGGACTAGGTGTGCACCACTACACATGACTAGTTTTTCTATTTTTTTTTTTTTTTAGTAGAGAAGGGGTTCTTGCTCTTGCTTAGGCTGGTCTTGAACTCATTAGCTTAAGTGATCCACGGGCCTCAGCCTCCTCTGTGCTAGCATTATAGGAGTGAGCCCCGGTGCCCAGCCTATTTCTGATTTTG